ATATCATAATCACAGGCAGTGATCCTTCTGTTATACAGTCCACCATTGCTCATCTCAGAACCTCATTCTCCATCAAAGATCTTGGTCCTCTCAATTTCTTCTTGGGTATACAGGTCTCCTACACAACCTCTGGTCTTTTCCTCAACCAGAAAAAATATATTGATGACATCCTTGAAAAAGCTGGGATGAAGGGGGCCAAAAGTCTTTCCTCTCCTATGTTATCTCATCCACCTTTATCTAAGGATGATGGACAGCCTATGCATGATGTCTTTCTATATAGACAAACTGTTGGGGCTCTACAATACTTGACACTCACAAGACCAGACATAACATTTAGTGTCAACAGAGTTTGTCAATTCATGCACTCTCCATTAGATAAGCATTGGAAGGCAGTGAAAAGGATATTAAGATATTTGGTGGGAACAAGAAATTATGGTCTGAAAATTGATAAGTGTAAGAACTTCAATCTGGTTGGCTTTTCAGATGCTGACTGGTCTCCAACCCTGATGATAGAAGATCAACTAGTGGGCTGTGTGTGTACATGGGAGGAAATTTGATTTCTTGGAGCTCCAAAAAGCAACATGTGGTTTCTAGATCATCCACAAAAGCTGAATATAGGAGTGCAGCTCAAGTTACTTGTGAAATCATGTGGTTGCACTCTCTTTTCCATGAGTTAAGGATTGAACATCAAAAACCAAGTGTAATCTGGGTAGATAATAGAGGTGTTGTGTGCTTAGCAGCTAACCCTGTGAATCACTCTAGAACTAAGCATTTGGAGATCGACCTCCATTTCATGAGGGAGAAGATCAACTTAGGAGTTATTGCAGTGAGACATATACCAGCAAGTGAGCAAGTCGTTGACTTGTTCACCAAAGCTCTATCTGGACAATTCTTTGCATGGCTAAGAAACAAACTCAAGTTATCTTCCTCCACATGCATAGAATTGAAGGGGGATGTTAAGAGCTTGACTCCAAACCAGCAATGCCACGTCAGCATGTGCATGGTTAGACCTGCTTTGCATGAGGACAAAGAATCACAACAAAAATGTGACCAAGAGTACAAGAGAGAGAGAGAGGAGCTAGCTGTCACTTAGCAAAGATCCAAAAACGTAACCCTAAATTTGTTATCTAGATAGATGAGTGGTCAGGATCATTTTAGATCATCCATAAATCCCATAGAATGTAGCTAGGCAGCCGCTAAGGCAATATACAGAAGCTGAGAGACTCAAAACTGTAATGAGAATGCATTAAATCTGTTCTACTGTTGAGCATGCAAAAATGAGAAAAAGAAAAAGATTTTTGATGACCATTCCTCTTATAGCTTCTTGATCCATCACATTCATTTAGTATTATTTCTTTTTTATTAGAAAGCACACCAAATACAGTGCAAAGTAAGCATAATGAATTTTGTTCTGTAAAAGCTCGTCAAGTACAACCTCGGTAAATATTTAAAGAAAAAATATATGTAATTTGTATGAATATGAGTTTTTAAAATTACAGCGCAGCTTACTCAATTTGTGGATCCAACCCTCAATGCATATAAGAAATTCTAGATATTATTTATGATGTATATAACTTTTTCATGGATCATCTTTACTTTTAATTCTTATCATTTTTTGGATACGTCCCTCCGGGGACATTCGATAAAATTGGAACGATAAAAAAAAATTAGCGTGATTCCTGCGCAAGGATGACACACATAAATCGATCCAAATTTTACCGATCAATTAGTAAACCGTCATGTGGGCGGCTCCCTTTTTTTTTAACTACTTTTGGACAACTACTCCACTACTAATTTTTCCATTTTATATTTTATATTTATACACATGATTGTCGCTAGTTGTTTTCATATCAATGTAAAAGTCAATGCAAAACGATGAATGAGTGAACTAGTTGAAAAAAATATAGTTCACATTAGAAAACATAATTAATTAATCCAGTTGATCATATTTAATTATATGTGTGTTGAATTAGTATAGATAACACCACAACTTTACACAACTAACATTAAATTACACGAGAAGCCTACATATTTTGAACTACTTAAGCAGCCCTTATTAAATAAAATATCTTCAATCAAAATCCTGTTAATATCAATTTAAAATACATTTAGTTGTTGGAGGAAACTTCTAAGCTTTGATGATTATTATCCATGTGGACAATTACTTAATTTTTAGAAAATAGGCAAAAAAATGTCAATTACTTTCGATAAAGAGAAATTCCATTTACTCTTCAAATATATATTTTTTTTAGTCAGTCACGGTATCTGGAGCTATGCTCTTACTAATCCATTGGTCGACTCGGGTCGCACACCTTGCAGTGATGAGTGTGTCTCCCAACAAGGATTTTCTGCATCCACAAGGACTCGAACCAGAGACCTTGCTTAAGCGACATCAAATTACTTACCACTTGAATCAACCCTTGTTAGGTTACTCTTCAAATATTTCATTAATTAATAATTCATTATATTAGTAATTGATTGATAGATTAATGGTTATACAATCATACATTTTGAATAAATTTAAATATGATATGAACAAACAAGTAGTAGTTTGATATCAGATAATCAATAACCTAATCTGTTCTCACAGGGCAGTCTAAAGTTTGCCTTTCACTTATAAATAATGTCTTTGTTTCTTATCATGCTTCACACACAAAAAACACACAAGCATCTTGATCAAATTTCATCTTAATTCTCTCTATATATACATTTTCTTTTTCTTGAATCTTTTTTAGATCAATTCCAACATGGGTGTGATCTCTTACGAACACGAAGAGTGCTCGAAAATCTCTCCAGGTAGGTTGTTCAAATCGTTCATCCTCGACGCTCACAACCTCATCCCGAAGGTCTTGCCGGGAGCCTTCAAGAGCTTCGAGATCTTAGAGGGAGATGGTGGAGTTGGGACTATCAAGTTGATCACTTTTGGTGAAGGTAAAATATTAATTAACCACTTCACAATTAATTTGAAAAAACTTAGAAAAAAAAAAAAATTGATTAGTGAGACATGGAAAATATATCTACATTAAAGATGTATTGCAAATTAAGAATTTTATATTAAATTTTTTTTTTTAATTGACTTTCTCAATGTGAGTTGTCTTAGGACATCGTTTATATAGAGAAAATAAGTCTAATTAATTATAAGCCTAGTGTACTCCTCCTATAACCGATTATACAGAAAAAATAATTAAGTCTAACTTACAAGCCTAGTGTACTCCTCCTATAACCGATTATACAGAAAAAATAATTAAGTCTAACTTACAAGCCTAGTGTACTCCTCCTATAACCAATTGGTTTTGGGATGAAGTCTCATTGTGGTGCACTTAGGTTCATCCTCTTATGGTGCGCTTCACGTGCATAGGATGTATATTTTATTTTTCGAGCAGTATATTTTATCCATATATGTGAATATTCTTTATTTCTAATAGACAATATTATAAAAAATTAAATAAAAATCATAAATAGTATCTGAACTTTGTATTTTGACTTCTCTTCATTGTATTTTAGTTCTATGTAATATTCGAGGACGAAAATATTTTTAAGGAGTTAGGATTGTAACGCGCCGTTTTACTTACTATTTCGAATTTTGGCCAGAAAAGTACAAAATGTTGCAGGAAAAATTTCAATTTCGCTGAACAAAATTCATGCAAAAAACACTTCTTTCACCGACGTTCCCCTCAATTCTTTCATAATCTATTATTGTATTTTTTTTTTTAGCGCTAACATACGTGATTCACAAAAGGTGTGAACATTTTTGAATGAATATGGTGAATCTAACAATGTAGGGAGTCAATTCAAGAGCATGAAGCACAGAA